TATGTATTAATTATTATATTTTTTAATAGTATATATTCTAATAAATTAATTTTTCTTAAATGCTACTTAAATTCTAAAATTATTTTTCTAGACAATATTTATCCATCAATAAATTTTACCCTTAAAATTTGCAAATGTATAGGAATTAGTATTTGTACATATTGTTAGGGAATGTATTTTGTTTTGAATGGTTATAATGTATGCGAACTAGTTGGTATAGAAATTAAAATTAATCATTCTCCACGCAATTTTGAAATATAAATGATTTAACCTCACAATATAGCACTAGCTTATTATTGAATTGTCTTGAAATAATTTAATTTCAATATATATCTTTATTAGAGTTAAAAAGATATCACGCCTTGCGTTGCAAGGCGTAATTAATAATCGTGGATTTTATTGCATTGATGCATAATAATTTAAATAATTTTAATATTAATTATAATTTATTATGAAAGATGATGTTTGGTTAAATTTGATTAGAGTCGTTGGCAGTTAAGCTATTAATAGGAATGACTAAGTACACGCTTGAACATTAAATTGTGCTAAGAAAAAATCAGCTAAATTATGTTGAAGTTTAAGAATTGGGTATTTTATGTTTTAGATTGGACTAAGAATCAAAGTTAATTATAAATGATATTGTGTAGGAAATACCTTATTAGATATATTTTGAACAAAAATTTAAAAATCAAGACATATGAACACTAAAAACGTCCTGATTTTCCGAGCTCTTTATTTTAAATAATGATTTCAATAGTCTCAATTTTTTATTTGTTTAAAGATGAGTAAAAATCCTGTGTGGAGGTTTGTTACTGTAGCATTTTGTGCCCTACTTACCAAATGATACACCAAAAGGAAACAAAGTCTTTGTTTTAGAAAAGATATAAAGATCATATACTATAAAGAAGCTTCTAATGATTAATTAATTATTTTAGCTTCACAGATAATCAACTCAAGGTATCATCATCTTTGTGTCTATTTATATATCACCTAACCCACAGCAACCAAACAAGACTCCCTAATTTATTATATGTAAAAATGCAATATGCATATACATAAAGAGTATTCACACATACCACCAAATTTTATGTTTTCCTCTAGAATACTTCAAAACACGTTGCATGTATTCACATTTGCTTTTCCCATTAACTCTCCTGGAATTTTCTCCCTTTAAATTCATTTTGACTAAACTCTCTAAACTACTCATTTGAATTTGATGACATTATGCCTTGCGACAACTTATTTCAGAAGGAAAATTTTTTTGATGCATTAATTGAGATTTTTTTTTGTTGCCTTTCCGACTAGAACTTTTTCCAAAGTTGTAAGGTGGAGAAGATTTTAACAGTTTCTATGTCACGTTATATTGAATGAAACATAAAAAAGGACCTGTTTGGCAAATGGCAGATGAGTTGCGCTCTCTAACTAATGAAAATTCTGCATGTGGGTTCAACACAAAGCTTGCATCTAACCTAAAACCAATTGGCAATAGGTGGAGTA